CGAGGTAGTCTTACTGCTCATATCAATGAGTGTCCATTAGAGCCAGTAGATTGTGTGTTTAGTTGGGCTGGTTGTAATGATAAGCCATTACGTAAAGATGTACATGAACACACTGCTGATACTAAACACATGACACTATTAGCTGTAGCTTGTGGACAATTGAAGAAAGAAAATGAACAAATGAAAGAAGAAATGACAAGAGAAAAAGCAAAAATAAAAGGAGAAATCAAGGAAGAGGTAGAAAAGCTAAGAAAACACGAATTTAAAATACGGCATTTGCTATGCAATAGCTGATTATCTATTGCTACCAATTGATATAAGAGAAAGAAGAGAAGCAATCCATTTTTATACCAGTGCATGTGGTCAGCACATGTCAGCTAGAGCAATGGAAGTGTTTTGGTCCATTAATCATTTGTTGTATTACTTGCATTTTATGAATGAAAATTTGATACATTTAATTCAAAGCTTCACAAGATATTTGCAGCATTTAACAATCAACATATACCATTAATAGAAGACACTGAAGCAAATTATAAAAAATTATACCATGATATTCTTAATACCATCAGAAGCTGTGATGATTCTAGACAACTGCCACCAGGAGCAATTAGAATAAAATAGCCACGATTCCAATGTATACATTAATTTTTAGGTTTGTTTAAAATATCACAATACATAACTAGAGACAGTATGCATATTTTATTCTACTTAATTTTAATTAGTTTAATGGTATAAAAATTTACATTTCACTCCATTATTAAGCTGCCATTCTCTTCCAAAAATAAGAAAAATAATAATACAAACAAAAATTAGTATGTCTTATTTGATTTCAATGGGCACAATTAAATTTAGTTTTCCTTGATTTGGTGCTAGGCCCTCTTTAACATTAAAATAATCCAAACAGTACAACATAAGACTACATACATTAAAGGCAAAACAATTTAAATTTGTAGTGTATATACATGTACAATGCAGTGTTTTATAGCTCCGTTGGTGTCATTGAATGACGTCATTAACGTATGATATATACCTACTCAGTAAGTCATTGTATAACGTATAGAGATGAAAAGCTATAAAACAGCATTTTTATAATGCAAAAATGACCCCAGACATGTATTGGATGTCAACTAGAATTTTAATAACAAGACACCATTCTCTATTCTATGATGCAGTTATGATGCTTGCATTTCAAAAAGAAAATCTAAACAGAGAGCTCCTAAAATGCTTACAAAGTTTTGTGATAACAATATTCCATTAATAAAAGACACTGAAGGTAATTACAAAGAATTACCTCACAATATTCCTGATAGGGCCAGCTTGAGAAGTAATTAAAAATTAATATTTTACTATTAATATTAACTCTATTCCTTCCATCATCTCTGTTCATGCTCATTAATGCTATTAGACATTATGCCTACAAATATAATGTAGTAAATACATGTATATGCAGACAAAAATGATGATTCAATTGCTTGTCATAACAGTCACATGTACACAGAGTTGATACAAACAAGTCAAATTAAATACTTCATCCTTATATAGTCCTTGATATCATCATAGTAATAATGGCTCAGTTCAGTATAGAAGAGCTTTCATTTGTTAAAGAATTGCCTGAGCATGTGGAGATAGAGTGTCCAGTTTGTCTTAATATCTTGACAGATCCTCATCTGGTGAGCTGCTGTGGACATAATTTCTGTGGGTCTTGTATTAAGAGAGTAAAAGCTAGTAATGGATCCTGTCCTATGTGTAAAGAGAAGGAATATCAATCATTTGTCGATAAGAAGTATTCACGCATTATCAATGGATTGGAGGTCTACTGCAGTAATAAGAAGAAAGGATGCCAATGGAAAGGAGAATTGAAGAATATGTCTACTCATCTTAATAAAGAGAAGAGAGAAGGAGAATGTCAATATGAAGAAGTAAAGTGTCGATATGAGAAATGTCAAGAGAGAAAGCAACGTATATATCTTAAAGATCATGAAGATAGAGAATGTTATCAATGTCCATTTCAATGCCAATACTGTGGGGAAGAAGGTACATTCCTCTCTATTACAAAGGATCATTATGAGGAATGTAGATACTATCCTGTTACTTGTCCTAAAAATGTTCATCTACTAATGTGCCACGATATCAAATTGCTGAAAACATTCATTAAACGAGTGTCCATTAGAGCCAGTAGATTGTGTGTTTAGTTGGGCTGGTTGTAATGATAAGCCATTACGTAAAGATGTACATGAACACACTGCTGATACTAAACACATGACACTATTAGCTGTAGCTTGTGGACAATTGAAGAAAGAAAATGAACAAATAAAAGAAGAAATGGTAATAAAGGAAGAAATGAAAAAAGAAAATGATAAGTTAAAGTGTGAAATTGCCAATATTCACAAAGTCATATCTGACAATTCATATCCAATATTACCAATTAGCATTAAAAATGAGAGTAAAGCAGTTCATTTTTATACTGGTGCATGTGGTCGGCACATGTCAGCTAAAGCAATAGTAGTAGCTAGTTATGTAGATTTCTTCATATTACTGGCATTTCATGAAGGGAAATTCGATAAATTTACACCAAAATTTAATCAATTATATGCAGTATATACAACATATTCAGTATACCTCTATCGATCGTATAGTGAAGATGAAAAAGAAGAAGAAGTAGAAATACATGATTCAGAAGCGAATCATATCACACCATTGATAGAAGACACTGAAGCTACTTACAAACAATTACCTTATGATATTCTTAATACCATAGAGTGCTATGATGATGATGATGATATTCCTCTACCAGATGGAGTAATTAAGGTAGAATTAGCAGCTGTAGGTTTTATAGATGTGGATCTTACAATTTGTTAATTAAGTCAAGTTACTTATAGTGTGCTACATCAATTCCTGACTTGCTCTTTGATTTCACTATTGTTAAACAATAATTGGTATTATTCTTATTTCTTTTTAAAAATACCCCTAATACAAATTAAATTAAATTTTAATAAATTAAAGATTAATTTTTGTTTTATCTTTTGTATTCACTATTATCAAAGAAACTTTTTCATTAGCCTATAGCAATGATGTAGAGAAAGCCATTCTATATCCATAAACCTTCAAAGTGAGTGTTGAATGGGGTGACAGATATAGAAGCCGAGACCACATTTGCCATTGTCATCGCTGCTCATGTGAATAGAGAGTGTCCATTAGAGCCAGTAGATTGTGTGTTTAGGTGGGCTGGTTGTAATGATAAGCCATTACGTAAAGATGTACATGTACACATTGCTGATACTAAACACACGACACTATTATAATAGCTATGAACTGTGGCTAGAAATTTCAACAAAATTGATAGGCTGGCACTAATAATAATAATGATGATGTAGCAGTAAATAAAAATATAAGTAGTATCATTTAATAGTTAAAGTAAAATGAAGAGAAAAGGGTTTAAATAACATTGACTGCATGGTTACATACAATTTTTAAATGAGAATAATGCTATTTCGCATGGAAAATATGAAATATCAATAGGTGTAATGATACTATAACTGCTTGTGGAGCAATAGAAATGTTGTCATCCATAATACCGACAATAAAAGACAATGCAATGAAGAAAATCAATGGTAAACAATAATAAGGAGATATCAAATAACAATGGGTGTGTCAGGCCTCAGTAATAGACCAGTAAATCAATATCAATGAGTAAGTATATTCATCAATCTGTTACCATTGGATACAGTAACTGTACACAAGATCAAGGGAATGGCTGGTAGCAATGGCTCAGTTCAGCAAAGAAGAGCTTTCATTTGTTAAAGGGCTGCCCGAGCATGTGGAAATAAAATGTCCAATTTGTCTTGATATCTTGACAGATCCTCATCTGGTGAGCTGCTGTGGGTATAATTTCTGTGGGCCTTGTATCGAGAGAGTAAAAGCTAGTAATGGATCCTGTCCTATTTGTAAAGAGAAGGAATATCAATCATTTATCGATAAGAAGTGTTCACGTATTATCAATGGATTGGAGGTCTACTGCAGTAACAAGGAGAAAGGATGTCAATGGAAAGGAGAATTGAAGAATATGTCTACTCATCTTAATAAAGAGAAGAGAGAAGGAGAATGTCAATATGAAGAAGTAAAGTGTCGACACGACAAATGTCAAGAAAGAAGGCAACGTAGATATCTTCCGAGTCATGAAGATAAGGTATGTATTCACCGTCCATTTCAATGCCAATACTGCAGTAGGAAAGGTACATACTTCTCTATTACAAAGGTTCATCATGAGGAATGCATGGAGTATCCTGTTACTTGTCCCAATAAATGTGTGTCTACTAATATGCCACGAGGTAGTCTCACTGCTCATGTGAATAGAGAGTGTCCATTAGAGCCAGTAGATTGTGTGTTTAGTTGGGCTGGTTGTAATGATAAGCCATTACGTAAAGATGTACATGTACACACTGCTGATACTAAACACATGACACTATTAGCTGTAGCTTGTGGACAATTGAAGAAAGAAAATGAACAAATAAAAGAAGAAAACGAAAAAATAATTTTTTTGGAAGAAGAACTAGAAAAATTAAAGAAAAAGTTCAAAACATTAGAAAATGATAATATAGTTTTAAAGGATCACATTCTCAGTAATGCCAAAGTTGAATTACCAGTTGAGATTACAAGAGGAATAGGAGCAGTTCATTTTGAATGTGGCCGGCACATGTCAGCTAGAATGATGGGACAGGATATAGAAGGAGGTTATGCAGATTACATTGTATTACTTGCACTTCATGAAGGAAGGTTGGATAAACTCAACCCAAAACCTCCTAAAATATTTGCAAAGTACAGAGGTAAAGTTACGCCATTAATTGAAGACACTGAAGCTACTTACGTAACATTACCTGATGATATTCTTAATACTATCAATATGGGTTGGGGTGATGTACCACAAGGAGTAATTAAAATACCATTAGGCAAGTACAGTATAATTGGTAGTGAAACAGTTACAATTTGTACTTAGCAACGATAGTGTGCATAATATAAGTAGTGGCATTGTTAATTGTTCCTATAATTCTTTTACATCTCCTTATCTTCATTCATCTTCCTTTACTACTGTAACTCTTCTCTTCCTTTGTTATCTATTGTTATAAACATTTTATTATGGTAGAGTGAAATCTATTCTGAACACCTCTAGACCCAATAATACTGTCCTGATTATGAACCTGTCCTTATTTCAGAGGTTCATTAATATACCGGTACATTTACATGTATATTGTATTGGATACTACCTGTCCTGATTATAGAGGTGTCCTTATTTTAGAGTGCTCACAATAGCAGGTTATATTGTATTAGTTTGAAAATGGTGTGTCACTCAATGTTTACTGTGGCTAGAAATTTCGACCAAATTGGTAGGCTGGCAGCAATAATGATAATTGATGTAATGTATAGTAAATACAAATAAGCAGTCTCAATGAAGGCTTAAAATCACACTGACTGGTGACATGTTCAATACAATTGTTAAAAAGAATACTGCCATTTTGTATAGAAAATATGAAATATCAATACATTTGTAGGTGTGTAACGATATTATAACTACTGGTGGAGCAATAGAAATGTTGTCAGCCACAATTGGTAATAGAAGGCAATGAGGTACTATACACACTGGTGTATGTAGCAATGTAGAAATGGTAAACAATAATAAGGAGATATCAAATAACAATGGGTGTGTCAGGCTTCAGTAATCATAGACCAGTAAATCAATATCAATGAGTAAGTATATTCATTAGTCTGTTACCATTAGATACAGTAACTGTACACAAGATCAAGGGAGTGGCTGGTAGCAATGGCTCAGTTCAGTATAGAAGAGCTTTCATTTGTTAAAGAATTGCCTGAGCATGTGGAGATAGAGTGTCCAGTTTGTCTTAATATCTTGACAGATCCTCACCAGGTCACATGCTGTGGACATAATTTCTGTGGGTCTTGTATTGAGAGAGTAAAAGCTAGTAATGGATCCTGTCCTATGTGTAAAGAGAAGGAATATCAATCATTTGTGGATAAGAAGTATTCACGCATTATCAATGGATTGGAGGTCTACTGCAGTAATAAGGAGAAAGGATGCCAATGGAAAGGAGAATTGAAGAATATGTCTACTCATCTTAATAAAGAGAAGAGAGAAGGAGAATGTCAATATGAAGAAGTAAAGTGTCGATATGAGAAATGTCAAGAGAGAAAGCAACGTATATATCTTAAAGATCATGAAGATAGAGAATGTTATCAACGTCCATTTCAATGCCAATACTGTGGGGAAGAAGGTACATTCCTCTCTATTACAAAGGATCATTATGAGGAATGTAGATACTATCCTGTTACTTGTCCTAAAAAATGTTCATCTACTAATGTGCCACGATATCAAATTGCTGAAAACATTCATATCAATGAGTGTCCATTAGAGCCAGTAGATTGTGTGTTTAGTTGGGCTGGTTGTAATGATAAGCCATTACGTAAAGATGTACATGAACACACTACTGATACTAAACACATGACACTATTAGCTGTAGCTTGTGGACAATTGAAGAAAGAAAATGAACAAATAAAAGAAGAAATGGTAATAAAGGAAGAAATGAAAAAAGAAAATGATAAGTTAAAGTGTGAAATTGCCAATATTCACAAAGTCATATCTGACAATTCATATCCAATATTACCAATTAGCATTAAAAATGAGAGTAAAGCAGTTCATTTTTATACTGGTGCATGTGGTCGGCACATGTCAGCTAAAACAATAGTAGTAGCTAATTATGTAGATTTCTTCATATTACTGGCATTTCATGAAGGGAAATTCGATAAATTTACACCAAAATTTAATCAATTATATGCAGTATATACAACATATTCTGTATACCTCTATCGATCGTATAATGAAGATGAAAAAGAAGAAGTAGAAATACATGATTCAGAAGCGAATCATATCACACCATTGATAGAAGACACTGAAGCTACTTACAAACAATTGCCTTATGATATTCTTGATACCATAGAGTGGTATGATGATGATGATGATATTCCTCTACCAGATGGAGTAATTAAGGTAGAATTAGCAGCTGTAGGTTGTATAGATGTGGATCTTACAATTTGTTAATTAAGTCAAGTTACTTATAGTGTGCTACATCAATTCCTGACTTGCTCTTTGATTTCACTATTGTTAAACAATAATTGTTATTATTCTTATTTCTTTTTAAAAATACCCCTGATGCAAATTAAATTAAATTTTAATAAATTAAAGGATTAATTTTTGTTTTATCTTTTGTCTTCACTATTATCAAAAAAACTTTTTCATTAGCCTATAGCAATGATGTAGAGAAAGCCATTCTAAATCCACAAACCCTCAAAGTGAGTGTTGAATGGGGTAACAGATATAGAAGCTGAGACTACATATGCCATTGTCATCGCTGCTCATGTGAATAGAGAGTGTCCATTAGAGCCAGTAGATTGTGTGTTTAGTTGGGCTGGTTGTAATGATAAGCCATTATGTAAAGATGTACATGTACACACTGCTGATACTAAACACATGACACTATTAGCTGTGAACTGTGGCTAGAAATTTGACAAAATTGATAGGCTGGCATTAATAATAATAATAATGATGATGGTAATGTAGCAGTACATAAAAATAAAAGTAGTATCATTAAATAGGGTAGTTAAAGAGAAATGAAGAGAAAATGGTTAAAAATAACTGTGACTGGTGACATGTTTCAATAATACAATTGTTACTAGAGACTACTGCTAATTTCTATGAAAAATATGAAATATCAATAGGTGTGTAATGATATATTATAACTACTGGTGGAGCAAAAGCAATTTTGTCATCCATAATACCGACAATAAAAGACAATGCAATGAAGAAATGGTAAACAATAATAGGGAGATATCAAATAACAATGGGTGTGTCAGGCCTTAGTATAATTATAGACTAATTGGGTAAATGAATTTATTTTCTAATCACTGAGTAAGTATATTCATTAATCTGTTACCATTGGATACAGTAACTGTACACAAGATCAAGGGAGTGGCTGGTAGCAATGGCTCAGTTCAGTAAAGAGCTTTCCTTTGTTAAAGAATTGCCCGAGCATGTGGAGATAGAGTGTCCAGTTTGTCTTAATATCTTAAAAGATCCTCATATTGTAAGCTGCTGTGGATATAATTTCTGTGGGTCTTGTATTGAGAGAGTAAAAGCTAGTAATGGATCCTGCCCTATGTGTAAAGAGAAGAAATATCAAGCAATACCTGACAAGAAGTGTTCACGTATTATCAATGGATTGGAGGTCTATTGCAGTAACAAGGAGAAAGGATGTCAATGGCAAGGAGAATTGAAGAATATGTCTACTCATATTAATAAAGAGAAGAGAGAAGGAGAATGTCAATACGAAGGAGTAAATTGTCGATATGTGAAATGTCAAGAGAGAAAGCAACGTAGATATCTTAAGTATCATGAAGATAAAGAATGTGATCAACGTCCATTTCAATGCCGATACTGTGAGGAAGAAAGTACGTTCCTCTTTATTACAAAGAATCATTATGAGGAATGCAGGCAGTATCCTGTTACTTGTCCTAATGAATGTTCATCTAATATTATGCCACGAGACTGGCTTAACGATCATGTGAATAATGATTGTCCACTAGGGCCAGTAGATTGTGTGTTTAGTTGGGCTGGTTGTAATGATAAGCCATTACGTAAAGATGTACATGAACACACTGCTGACACTAAACACATGACACTATTAGCTGTAGCTTGTGGACAATTGAAGGAAGAAAATAAAAAAATTAAACAAGAAATGAGAGAATTAATAAAAATAGAAGTGCAGGACAAAAATGATAAGATGAAAAAAGAAGTAGAAATATTGAAAAAAGAGAATTCAAAATTAAAAGAAGAAACTGTAACTCTAAAAGAACATGTTCATTATGCAATAGCTGATGATTCATACCTATTACTACCGATTACCATTACAACAGAAAGTAAAGCAGTACACTTTTATACTGGTGCATGTGGACTACACATGTCAGCTAGAATAACAAAAGAAGACGTGGTAACATTTGGTTCAAAATTCTTTGTAAATAATTGCTTTGTCTTGTTTGCTTTTCATGAAGGAAGATTTGATATGTTTGATCCGAAACTTCCTAAAATATTTGCAAAGTTTCAAGATAAAGATATAGCATTAATAAAAGAAACCGAAACTTATTATAAACGAGTACCTCATGATGCTCTTCACACCATTAGGGATGATTATTATGAAAGGGTAATTAAAATAAAATTAGAGACAATAGACACATTTCAAATGATGTATGGTAATAGTATAAGTGTAACTATTTATACAAAATAATGATAGCGTTGTCTTAATTTTTAACTTATTTATTAATAAATTAAATCAAATTCCTCAAATTCAGTTGAAGCACAGACAGGGGTGGGACAGAAACTTAAACCCAATGCTTTCTAAAGTCAATTGTGATAATGACATACCATCCTCACCGAGCACGTACCATCACCAAATCTTCTTACAAACAATTACCACATTATTTGTAATGGATATACTAGATCTAGTCATAACCAACATGAGTAATTAAAATTAAATTAGGCATGCACATTTCTAATGCATACCAGCACATGATAGGTCTAACTGTGGCACAACACACAATTTACATGATTTAACTCATAGCATCATCAAGAGTACTGATAATAATTGTATCAAATTCAGAAAACTCCCGTTGCATAGAGTATAGTAAGAACTAGCAATTTTATGGTAAATCTAATACCTTAAATGTGCATTCTATTATAGTGCAGGTAATAATGTCAGGCATGGCCTGCTTCATGCATGCATGTGCAGGCATCTTACATGCTGCCACCATAGATAGTATCTATGCAGCCATGCCTGTGCAGTCAGTGTGCACCTGTTCTCAATTCAATAAAGAAGAGCATTCTTTTCTTAAAGAATTGCTCGAGCATGTGGAGATAGAGTGTCCAGTTTGTCTTAATATCTTGACAGATCCTCATCTGGTGAGCTGCTGTGGACATAATTTCTGTGGGTCTTGTATTGAGAGAGTAAAAGCTAGTAATGGATCCTGTCCTATGTGTAAAGAGAAGGAATATCAATCATTTATAAGAAGTGTTCAGGTCTATTGCAGCAATAAGAAGAAATGATGTCAATAGAAAGGAGAATTGAAGAATAAGTCTACTCATCTTAATAAAAAGAAGGAGAATGTCAATATGAAGAAGTAAAGTGTTGATATCAATAATGTCAAGAGAGAAAGCAACGTAGATATGTTAAGTATCATGAAGATAAAGAATGTTATCAATGTCCATTTAAATGCCAATACTGTGGGGAAGAATGTAGGTTCCTCTCTATTACAAAGGATCATTATGAGGAATGC